ACTTTGAGAAACTCTTACATTTCGCGTACAAATGCCATACATTTTGTATAGACATTGTGTGGTCTGGGATGAGGTCATGCTGTTGGACCCAATTTGTGTGCCCCTGACCACAGTGACCTGGTATGGATTACCCGGCACAACACCTTGACTAGCCACCAGGGTGATTAGTGACAATATTATAATAAGCTTCATGGTAATCTCAAATAAAATTTAATTTCTTAATTTTTTTGTGAAAGCAAAATAAAACTTATAAATAGTTTTGTGAAATAAGTTTATTTATATATTGTTTAGTGAATGCGTATAATTATCATAATTATAGATCGTGCAAAACAAATAACTATAAACTAAATAGTTTATTATGATTTAATTGTTTTGGTTGCCAGGTAATGTTACTGTTTTAATATGACTGATACATAATTTTGAATTAAAAATATTCTTATTATTAATATAAATTAATTTCTATTATTAAAATTTTTAGTATATCACTCATTTTCAATAATAAAAATATAAAGCATGATATATACTAGAAGAATTTATCTTGAAATATTTGAAAGTAAATAGCAAAATATATTAAACACATTATATACAAAATAAGTTTCTTAAAAACTGGAATTTAATATTATAAATATATTTTAAAACTTATTGTTTTCAATTTATTGTTAATTAGATTTGAAGTCAAGAAAATTTTTTATTTTATAGTAGTAATAATAATAATAATAATAACATTTTCAGTAACTAATAATTATTTAATTTTTAAATAAATGACATGAATGGGTGTAATGAAAATATATTCACTAGACTAATATTTTTTATAATTTTTTAAACATTTAAAGTTTATTTAATATTATTAATTCCTTAATAGAGCTGTATAATATTTGTAAATAAATTTTATAATATTAAAGATAAATAAATTTTTAAACATTGGATTCCCCAACCAGTAGTGATTACATTTTAAATATTGATATAGTTTTACATTTTATTATTACCTAGACATAAGTGTTTTTTTAATTAATTAATTTGCTTTAAAATAACTAAATTAAATATCAAAGTTACCTGGTTTAAAGTAAATGTAATATAATATAATATTATATACTTTTCATAATAGCCAGCGTATTAAAACTTTATTTGCCACGATTAACAGGGTATTGATAATTTGTATTATATGGGTAATTATTTTGATTATAATTAGGGTATTGATTAGTATTACCACATAACGGCCTAGTCTTGGCCCTATAATAACCCTGGACATTGCATTTGGTCTCCGTAAGGGAAAAGCCATTAAACGTTAGTTGAATGTAATACCAGTCCATTTGAATGGCGTGTTGCTCGACATTTGTGCAATACGACTAAAATTGTATTAAAATAATTACCTAGGTATTTTAAAATTAATAAATTTTTAAAAACTACACTACTTACTTTATAATTGCGTTGATAGCAGTCTATTACGTCCCATAATTGACAGCAATAATGTAGCACAACATTGCTTATCATTGCTTGCCTCACATTTACGGTACAAATGCCATACATTTTGGACAGACATTGCGTGGTCAGGGAGTTTGCCATTGAATTTGTATTTGTACCAATGTGTGTGCCCCGGACCACATTTACTTGGTATTGATTACCATGAACAATATTTTGGCTTACCACAAGGGTTATTAATGCTAGTATAATAATATACTTCATAATTATTATTTTTAGTTATGAAAAGGTTATGAATGTTTATGATATTATAAGAAATAAAAATTTTTATATGAATTATTTTTATTTATATAAGTTTTCTTAAAGTTACTTTTTATCATTAAACACTAAGATTATGTGAATATCATGATATAAACTAAAAATTGTTTTTATTTGAAATATTGTTTGGTTGTCAAGGTTTATAATTATAAATATTATAACATTACTAATGAATAAGGTAAATTACATAAACTAGAATAGCGACTTATTATCATTAACTACAATATTATTAATAATCAACAAATTATCTTCAATATTTTACAATATACACACGCAATATAAATTAAATAACACATAATACTATTATTATACATTGCGATTTGTATTTATCTACTTGTAAGTTAGAATATAAATATTTTTAGCAAAATAACAATAACTGTAAAATTAATTTGATAACTCATCTGGATAAAATTGCTATTATTTGGGTATGATGTTGGGTAAGGTGAGTCAGTATTGCAAACACGCCTGTCCATAGTCCGTTGGTAGCCCTGATTAGTACACGAGCTTTGAGTGTATACTTTGCCACTGAAATCCAGTTGAAGTAAATGCCAGTCATTCTGAATGGACTGTTGCTCGGCGTATGTGCAGTCAAACTGTAAATAAGATTTTATAATACGTTTGAATTACTTTTAAAAATTAACTATATTAAATTTGGATTAAAATCACCTCGAGGATATTTATAAACATTTGCATAATATCTAATTTTATATAAGTTTTAAAATTGTTTTAAAAATTACCACAATTACTGAATTGATCATGGAAATTTTATTGCAGATATTTTTTTGCGAATTTCTTAAATAGAAATATGAACCTGATAATTTTGTTGATAGCACTCAATGAGGTCCCATAACTGACAGCAATAGTAATCATCATTCATATGAAGTTTAACGGTGTCTTTCATGCATTTATTACCCATTTTTGCAATACATTGATTGTCCAGGTTTATATCCATCAAATTATTATTATCATCATTGACATTAACAAGCGGACCTTGTCGTATAATAACTTGGTAATTTTGTTTTACCACTGCGGTATATCCAGAGTTAAACAAAATAACCACCATAAATAAAAACTTCATTTTCACAAATTGTATTATAAATTACTTTATTAATGGTTTTATTTAATAAATAGAAATATGAGTAAAAGAAGTTGTATTTATATATTTTAAATATATTTATGTCATCAAGGTTATTAAGTCGAATAGGATTAGTGATATTGATTGTGTATTGATTAAATTACAAAATGAACAAATATCCTAGCTGCAAAAGGTCTAAATGTTACAAAAGCACAATAAATTTATTATAAAAAGTTATTAATATTTTTATAAACGTATACAGGAATAAATAATTTTATATTAATCACTTTAAATATTTATAATAAACTTAATGAACTTAAATTCGAAAACCTTTTAGCAAAATAATTATAAATATAAAACTACTTTGAAAATTCAGCTTGGTAGAATTACTATTATATGGATATGGTTGTGGGTAAGTGTAAGGTGAGTCAGTATTGCAAACACGCCTGTCCATAGTCCGTTGGTAGCCCTGATTAGTACACGAGCTTTGAGTGTATACTTTGCCACTGAAATCCAGTTGAAGTAAATACCAGTCATTCTGAATGGACTGTTGCTCGGCGTATGTGCAGTCAAACTGTAAATAAGATTTTATAATAAGTTTAAAATTTTAATTTATTTTAATGATATAAAAATTGGCAAGAAGGTCACTGCAGAATAATATTTTAAATTTAAATATCAATTTATTCCATTTATGAATTGATTATGATTTTTAAATACTAACATTCTTAATAAAAAATTAAATACCAGGTAATTTTGTTGATAGCAATCAATGAGGTCCCATAACTGACAGCAATAATAATCATCATTCATATGAAGTTTTACGCTATCTTTCATGCATTTATTAGACATTTTGGACATACATTGATTGTCCAGGTTGGTGTCCATAAAATTATTATCATTACCATTCGCATTTATAAGCTGTCCGTGTTGCAGAATAGCTTGGTAATTTTGTTTTACTGCTGCAGTATAGCTAGGGTTAAACAAAATATAAAATATAACTATTATAAATAACAACCGCATTATTAATAACTTTATTAATACTTTTAGTTATTAAATAGCAATATTAGTAAGAGAAGTTATATTTATACATTTTAATTAAATGTATGTCATTAATGTTACTTAGGCCTTATAACATAAAGGATATTGATTGTTTATTTATTTGTTTGCAAACATGTTTAAATATCTTAGCAGCAAAAACCTAAAATAAACCATAGTAAACTTAATGTTAAAAGCACAATTCAATTTA